TGATTCTAATCAAGTTATGTACAGTCAACGCATCAAGTCCCTCAGTGAATATATTTACATAGCACTGAGTAATTTGTGAAAACTTCACCATAATTTTCATTAATTTGCTCATGTAAATTTTTGAGAAATATAATTTTTGATATTTGGTTCATTATTAAATTGTGTTTGGTTTAGAATAATAATAAGGAACAAGAATTTCTGATGGTAGGAAAAATATTTACATATTAACTTTAGTCACATAACATGAACTGTAATAGAAACGAAAACATGTTATAGAATGGAACTTGATCAGAAAGGATTAGTGATGATGACATTTATGTGCTTATTAAAAGTAGATAAATAATGATTGTAATTAATTCCTTCAGTACAGTAATTATATGGGAGGTCTGTATGGCATTCAGTTCAATTGCCATTACTTATCGAATGAAAGGGAACACTCAGTCATATTCATCACTCTTGTCTATAAATTCTATTGTTTCTTTAGCATATGCAGGGAAAGCCATACAGACCTACAGACTTTGTTGTTGTTACTTGTTGTTACGAAGAATTAATTGTATATGCTTTACATCATGAATAATGTAAATTTGCGCGTTAAACGTGAAATATTGACTTGTTTACGGCTAATTCTGATGAATTTCAGGTGACAACATAAAGATCTGCAGATTACCTGCTAGCTGTCAAAATCTTCAGTACTGGAATTATAATAGTATTGTTAGAGTTAGTACAAAGTAATTAACTCTCTAGTTATTGTCATCATCTGTTTGATTGTACAGAGAGCGCAACAGTTTGTCACTTGGTATCAATTTTCTTTATTTTTTCATCTGGTTACTGTTAATAGAACTTGTTAGACGAGACTGATATTAATTTTCATCTCTAATATCTGTTTTCTGAGGTAAAGAACTGAAAGTTGAAGTCAGAGAAGTGCGAAATTGCGATCAAAGAGCGTTGAGTGACTTCTGCGGAATAACTGCCTGTCCATACGAAGAGAGCGAATAGGCACTGACAGGAGTGGTTGTGCACATGTAGATTAGTTGTGCTTGCAGCTGGTTGGCAGGAGACGAAAGGCTGGAATTAGTCGAGAAGTGGATAGCTCAGTTGTGGTTGAGCACAGACAGTATTTGTGCAGGAAGAAAAGGTCAGCACGAATCCGGCAGATGTTCTGGACGTGGTGAGCAACTCTCGAATAATGCACTGAACTGCGTTTTCATTACTGAAACGCAGTTCTCATCAACGAATAATGTTAGCCTTTTCATCAGAATTTCTACCGACAGCTAGCGATCCTGCTTGCAGGCATTGCTTCGCAAGAATTAGTTCCCATATTTTATTGCTGGTAGTAATATCTACGGGAATGGTCTATGCTGATGAATCTAATGGTGAGTTTTACTTATAATTTTTCATTAAACTTTCATACTTGAAAATTAATGTTATTTCAAAAAGTTACTAATACTGTTGTTATGTTTACTTTTATACATTACTATCATTACTTGTATTTATATTTGGTAGTAATTGTATTTTGTCATCACACTGTTGTTAATTTTCAGAAATGATGTAAGCCTCAAATTTAACGTATATACAGTTTTCTCATCTTTCAAACCTAACAAAAACTTTCTCTTTTACCACAAAAGTTTTACTCTAGTTTTACTAGAAAAGTTTTACTGTTTTACCTAAGCAAAACTCTTGTTATTAGCTAACTTGACTCGCAAGGATCTCTATCTATTAATTTTCTTTTCAATGTGCATACATTTATGTTTTACATACGCTCCATTAGTCTTATATAGCTTTTCTATTGGTCTTGTCTCAGATATCCCTCAAGCCTTTACATTTCTTTTTGTAAAGGTATGCTAGCGCGGCTTCACTGCATAAGAACAATCGCAAAGACGTTATTGTTTCCCTTCTCTCATACATGTGTCACGCAAGAAAAGAAATTATGTTAATTTGTAAGAGGCCAGCTAGTTGATTATATTTTAAGGCTGATTAAATAATGTCAAGCTCGATGGCAGTTTTCTCCAGTCAGCGGATAAAAGTTGTAAATTCCTTGGAAGTGAAATACTGTATCTAATGTATCTTCCTTAAAAATCAATTTTTTATTTATTTAAAGTTGACAAGATTCGATGTGTTACATGTTATATCTCCAAATTCTTCTTTTTAAAGAAAACTCTCAATATATTTTCAATTATTTGATCGGTGCAGAATATGACCTTGCATTACGTGTTTATTTGTCTTCATATTTTTGTCCGTTTTTGTTATGAACAGTAGTGTGCTTGAATATTTTGCATGCATGATTAAGTGATACAATACCTTTTGTTGCAGCGTTTTTAGTTTCAGTTAGTTTTTTTAGATTTTTTTTTGACCACACATAACATATGGACATTTTAGAATAGAAATCATATATTTACCAAATTGTGCAGTACATTATTATAGTGGTGTTAGCCGAGAAATATTATCTTTAGAGGTAGCAAAAATGTATTAATATATCAAGCTTAATTCAAAATGTATGATTTTTGCAGTTTTTTCATGTAGTATGTTTTCTGTAGCACTTTATCTTTGATTTTACCAAAATTCTCATGATATTAATTCAATTGCAGATGGCTGTTGGGAAATGCATCTGTGTTATTATTTCCCTCAGCATTTCAGCACTCGATTTATAGCTTAATCTGATGTGTTGTATGCATGACCTTGAATTGTTGAGGGAACTACGTTTTTTTTTGTTGTCGTCGCTGATATCAAAACAATTTGAAAATTAACATTGCTTAAATTATTGTTTTTTTTCAAACCTGTTTATTTTTTCAGTTAAATATCTGACGCAAACTAAAATTGTGATTGCATTTCTGAATTCTTCAAAAATCTGTCTATTCTTTAGTGGCTGCAGAAACTACGGTATTTTTGGCAATGAGAAATTGTAAAAATTTCATACTTTAACATTTTTTTGCAAATCATTTGGTAGAGAGATTAAGAAGCAGATAGAGTTCAAATTTAATTAAGCGATGCAAAATTTCTTAGGAGTTTCAGTTTTACAGCATTTATATATTAAGAATTGGCTCTTTTCGTTTAGTGCTGCATTGCTAGGAATGAATTGAAGAAATGGACATAAACTTCAATTATCGCATATACATATCATGTAGAAGAAGCAGGGGAAGAGAAAGAGTTATTTCTAATTGTTGAGTTCATTTTTTGTAATAAAAGAGCAATGCATTAAGTGATTATCCTACTAATCATTTAATGCATTTCTGTGGTTTACGTGATACTCAGCTGGTTGGATAAAAGCTGCGAAATAATGAGGCTAAAGGCAAGGAGGGTGCTGATATATTCGTAATAGTTGTAATGAGTTTGCATTGGTATTAAAGTTTTCGAGCTTCACTTTCAATTATGCGTCAGTTTTTATCGATTCCCAAAAAGACATCAGAATAGGTGATGGATAGTGATATTATATGGCTTAGATGACCTTGTGCTATCATCATGATTGCACTACTGGCTTGTCTCAATTTAAATTGCATCTCGGAATTACTACTGCTGCATATATTACGTTTTGTAATTGGGGGAAACGTGCTAAATGATTTTACATATTTCTTGCTTCAATTCGCTTTTATTGCTAGTAATTTTTCCATTGATTTTCCATATTGTAATGTGAGGAGGCAGACATAAATAATTTGTTTCTCGCAAGAATTTTGTGAAGTAAAGAATGACATTGAAAGTGATATTATTTTATATTTTTTTTATTTTCAGCGTTGATTACCATTTCTAAAACTGAATTTACATAAAGTTTGCATACATATCTTCTGAAATGTATCACTTTTTCATCAAACTTTACTTTTTCATTTCAAATATTTACTCCCAGTAAATCTAAATATATAACACAATTAATTTATCTGCTGTCACTTTGAAATTATTCACATAGTGACTTTTCATTTTTACATCTTCATCGCTTTCCTTTATTCAGTAATATTTTTTTACCACTCTTTTCTTCAGAAGATGGAATACCAGTGATAACAGAACACCCACTCGATGTTATTGTCGCTAAGGGTGAACCTGCGACGTTGAATTGTGCTGCTAAAGGACCTGATCTGCAGATTACCTGGTTTAAAGATGGAGAATCAGTGATTACGAATAATGAAGAAAAAAATTCACATCGCTTGGTTCTTCATACTGGTGCACTGTTCTTACTTAGGGTTAATAATGGTAAGCTTTTGCACTGGTAGTTGTACGTAGCAATAAACGAGATATTTGTGTATTAGGGAAATTGAGGGATAGATAGACTAGTGGTAGTATGGAATAAATAACGATGAGTAAATATATCTCTGCAATAACTTTGTTAATTTGTACTGTAGTTGCGGAAAATAAATAATTGTGCAAATTGTTGTAATATTTTTGCTAGTTAATTAAAATGCAAACTAAGTTATTTGTTGCTTTTTCTAGTGGAGTTTCTATCGAATTGGAACTCAGAATTTGAAGCTATGTTTTGTTTTATTATTTTTTATCTTTTTAAAAAATAGTCTGAAGTAACTTCGTTATATTATTTTGGTATCAAAATTATCGCAATCATTTTGTGTGATGGTCTCTAGGTTGCTGTTTTTGGAAGTGTTTTTAAGTTGAATTAGTTTCTCTTCAGGTAAAGGAAAAGATGCAGACTCAGGCACGTATTATTGTGTTGCAAAGAATAAGTATGGTGAAGTACGATCGAGGGAGGCATCACTCAAAATTGCTATGCTGCGAGATGATTTTAGAATAAGACCAAGACCAATTCAGGTAGCTTTGTGTGTAAGAGGAATAAGGAGTTTTGAATCTGAGAATAATTATGCATTATAGTGAAATTTTTTTGTTCTATTCATATCATCGGAAGAGAAAATTTTTTTGATAATATAGCAGAAGTTATGCATATTTTTAGGCTGTGATTGGTAACAGAGCAGTACTGGAATGCTCTCCGCCTCGTGGTTTCCCAGACCCGGTTGTCTCCTGGCGCAAGGATGAACAGCACCTACGTCCTCAAGAGGAAGATGGTATTGTGCTACATCCAAGTGGAAATCTCGTCATTGAAAAGGTTTTATTTGTAATATGTTCTTTATTCTTTACTTAATTCGATACTTAGTTGATTTTTAAGATGATCCAACAATTATTTAGTATGGATTAAAATATGTTACTCAGTCATTATTGTCCAGGTGCAACGATCAGATGCTGGTTTTTATCAGTGTGTAGCAACAAATATGGTCGGTGAACGAGTGTCAAATCCAGCTCGTTTATCTGTTTACGAAAAGCCTTATTTTTTGGTCTGTTCATTCTACTACTGATTAATTTCGTTTGTAAAACCAGGAGTTGTGTTTTACTAGTCTTCTTTTGTGTGCTTGTTTGTCTTCATAATTTTCTGTGACTGTTAGAAGTGATACAGATTAATTCAGTTTATTTGAAAACAAAATCATTGATGTTTGAAATCTTATCACATCTGTATTTTTATTAAGTAAAGCTTGTAATGGACAAAATCACTTCATTACTGCTTTGTTTAAAGTTAGGAAATAACTGAAATAAATAAAAATATAGATGTGATAAGATTTCTTGAGAACTGAATTATCTAGCAACATATTTTTCATATATCCATCCAGCAGTGAAGTTTTTCAAAAATTTCTGCATTTTCTCATCTACTACTAGACAGTCAAACTTATATGTCTTTCAAACTGAATAATGCTACATTTTTTTAGCAAAAACCGCAGAATGTTACGGTTGAAGTAGGGTCATTAGTTCTGTTTGACTGTCGTGTGTCTGGTGATCCTATGCCTTCTATATCATGGAAAAAAAGAAACCAGCAAATGCCTGTGGGTCGATCTTACATTGCATCAGACAATCGTGGTTTAAGCATTAATAAGTGTGTATTTTATTTATTTTTCTGTATGACTTGGTTATGAGTTACGTATTACATTTATTTTTGCAATATATTGTTATTTGAATACAATTCAGTTTTTGTAGAGAACCGTATTTGTGAAGTGTTTGTTCATTCAGAGTACAAGCAAGTGATGAAGGGGAGTATATTTGTCAAGCGAAAAATCCTGCTGGAAATATAGAGGCATCAGCTCATTTAAGTGTGCATGCAGCACCAACTTTTACGAAGACTCCTCTTGATGTTACTATCGATTCAGGTTCCATAGCTAAATTTCGTTGTGAGGCTGAAGGACAACCACAACCAGCATTGTTTTGGTCTAGAGAAGGCCAACAGGTTAGTTTTGTTAACTTTATTATCAGAGTTTTGTGAAGATTATATTTTTTTGAGTCATATGATCGAAATTAATATGTTTATGGTTTAACTTCGATTTCTGTTGTTTTGGGCAGTAGTTTCTGTTTCAAATGTTTTTTCGTTTGCAATGCTGTGTTTTATATCATTTACAAAAAGTGAATTCTAGGAGGTATTTTTCCCGGGTCATGTATCGTCAGATGGAAGAATTCGAGTAACTTTGGATGGTGACCTTACTGTTGCTGATGTAAGGCCCGCAGACGAAGGAAATTATGTTTGTGCTGCAATGAACCTCGCTGGAAGTAGTTTAACCAAAGCGGCATTGAAAGTAATGAGTAAAAGTAAGCCTTTTATGTATGTAAACGGCAAACAATTTTTTGAAATTTTTCTATGGTCGAAATTTTTCAAATTTTGTTTTTGTTCTTTTCGCGACACAATTTCGAAAAAGTTTAAAATTATTGGTAGGAAATGTATCAGATATGAGAATGATAGCAAATTAAATGTAAAACTTAAAGTCTCGTAATTTGGTATAGTCCGTCAGTGTTTGGGGATAGATTTTAGTGCAAATAGTCTACTACAGCAAATCTATGAGGCTGATTAGATAAAATATTCTGACAGATAAGATTATTCACAAATTTTGTTCTTGCAAAGCATGTCATACTGTCTGATGAACTATCTTGTTACTATAAACCACTCTACAACAAATAAATGTTCTTGGTAAACATGAGTTAAGAAATAGAATTTGTGGGTTAGCGAGAGAAAAGGCAGCCACTAAATCGTTCGATTTTTCAAGCTTTGAGTACGACGTCATATTAAATTACTATAATAAAAAGTTTCGCTGCGATAATTTTAAATTGTATTTAATGCGATATTTGCTTTTTTGGTGTTTGCAAAGAAATGAATGACTTTGCTGTCCAAAGCAATTTTTTCTTTTGTCCTCAATCAGATAGATATTGACTTTTTTAATTACCAAATGCGTATATTTCTTTTCTGTACACATCTTCAATTATTTTTTTCTTACCATTACTGAGGTAAGTCTTTGAAATAAATCACTTCAACCGTCCTTAATTTCTTTCTCTTCTTGTCATCGACTGCTTTTTAGTACTTTCCTAGACATATTCTCACCTCAAGTCTTATGCTTCATCACAACAGTTAAAATGTCTTTAAATTAGCACCGCAAAACTTACACTACCTTAAGTAATTGATGGAAAGTTTGGTAATAGCACGAGAGTTAGCAAGTGTAAGTTTATTTGAAAAATAAAACTTTTATATATAGTAGTATAAAGATATTTTAATCATAAAAACTACCTCATGTTTTATATTTTTGCAGCTATCTTTTAGTACAGCGGTCGGAACGTATAAAATGCTGTTTATAGATTTCTCATGCATTTAAATTATAAAGCAGTTGTTATGAATGGACTAAGATAAATGAAATAAAAGCATATTGTAGTCTGTAAAACTTTCTTCTGATATATATCTTGACATATGATTCTGTTTTCTGTTCTTGTCCATCTATTCCACCTTCTTCTCATCTGTTTGAATTCAGCTCTCATATGCATAAATTAAATATATCTCTCAAACTTATTGTCATATTCTCTAAGAAAATACTGTTTACTTGCTTGCTTATAACGACCACCAGGATAGCAGTCTTGATTGGATTGCATTCATTTGTTTGACCACGTTAGTTTGAATCAAATGCATTATTTCTATTATTTTTTTTTTTTGCAAAATAGACCGTTTCGTTCAAAGTTCTTTTCTGTATTTGTTAATAAAGGCAGTTGTATTTTTTGAGGGACCATTGAAATAGAAAAAAAAATTTATTTTGCAACCTACCAATCGTTTTGAAAGTTGGAAAACAGCATTTCGAAGGTGTGATTAATGCAAAACTGAATGTTTGCCTTCTACATTCCCACTCATTCATATCAGCTGGAATTACATGTATTCGTGGTAACGTTGTCTGATTCTTTAGGTTGATAATTGCGTTACTAAACTTACTCTTCTACCAAAATTTTACCTCTTTTTGGACTGCAGTTAAGAATAGCAATGTATGTGTGGATTATAGAAGGAGAGTTTGTTCTTTCAAAAGTTTATCTAATTTGCATTATATTGTTTCAAGTTGTTGTATTATAGACCTTCATGACTGATTTTAGTTCAGTTCTTAATACTGCATGTTAGTGGAAAAAGTGGTAAGGACGGCATTGCCAAGTACCTATTTTGACGCTCTATCCATCTTAAAAGCGATAATCTGAGGCTTTCCAGTTTGCTTACCATGCATCGACATATTTACTCCTTTTCGGGTTTTGATTTTAATCCTTTGTTGATCAACGCTGACCAAGAATTACCATTCTCTCTTATGTGTTAATAAGCATTGATAAGGTTGGGAGTTTCTCCAAAAATTGTTGAAGTCTTTCAGCTCTACTAGCAAGTTTAGAGTTTTTGTTTAGGTTCAGTTTGCAATTCTTTCACATGCACTTTCCATTTTCATCAATTGAGATTTCTAGGATGGTATGCAATTTTATTCATATGGAAATGACTATTTGATTGGTGCACGTTGTGAATTATAATATCTGATGCACTTTTTAGGGTAGGAAACTCTGTATGAGGGGGATATTCCAATCTTTCTAGTTAGAGGTTACTTGCAACATAACCTAGTGGCAGCTATTCCTCTCCCATCTAAACATCTCTTTAATTAGCCAATATAGTTAGGATATGATTTTATGGTCGGTGGAAAGCTGATTTATCAGCTTAGTCTTCTTA